CTACTACTACTACTACTGCTACTGCTACTACTACTACTACTACTACTACTACTACTGCTACTACTACTACTAACAACAACGATAACGATAACAACAATAATAATAATAATAATAGGTTGCATTTATATAACGCTGTATCCCAGGCGAGTATAAGCTCTGAGCGCTTTACATCTAGATCTATCACATAATCACTGAGCGATTCACACAAGATAAAATATTTCACAGTAACAAGAAAAACCAGTTCAACCACATAAAGAAGAACTTTTCCAACCATACATAAATATATACACGTAAGGGCAGCAGTAAAAACAAAACATACCGCACTTACTTACACACTATAGCTAAGAATTAAACAATGATATATCGTGTGTGCTTAGCGGGTGTTCTGTTGTGGCTTGACCCTTCTTTCTTATCAAACAAATTAATGTCGTCATTACCTCTCCTCTTTTTTGTCTTTGTCTTTCTAGTAATATCTCAATTCTTCGGCAGTTACATGACCTATTTGCGTTGCAAGTGCCGTAAAACTTTTACTATATGAAACTGAAAAAAGGTAGGAAAGCAAGAAAGTGTAAAACCTTCCACGCCATTCTCTAAACGGAGCGTTGTGTACCTACAGAAATAGCATTATCCATCATACACAACATTAACCATACTGCTAGGGCACAGCTTAATCAGAACTGTCCCCGAAACTGAATCTAAGCCTAAACCATAAATAATTTATTTACACAAGCTATCCATGGCTAGGTGCGGTTTTAGCCTCTTTGTCCCCTGTCTGTCAATTATTTTTTTTTACCGCTTATAATACATCCTGAATCTTTAATTTTTCAAAACCTGGAATTTGCATTAAACTTTTTTAAAAACCACGTACTGTAATCAAGCCATCCCTCCCCCGCTCTTCCATCACGTTAGAACTATCCCAACTTAGAAAAAATCCTTTAATAAAAACTAAATATAGACTGAAGTGGACACAGACAAGCCACCGTGCAACAGCATTCTAGAGTCTATGATTGTTATAGAATTTCAACTCCTACCTCAAGGGTTCAGTACATACCGCTGGACTAAAATCTTGGTCTGGAGGAAGCCGGAGAGAGGAAACGTGGCAAAGGATCAACAATCTTTTTACACAGGAATAAGAGTGGGTAATCGGCGGGTGCTCTAGTGGGGTTTTTTTCTATCAAACATCTATCATCCTCATCTCTCCTGTTCGTTCTTTTTTTGTGTTTCTTACTTTCCTGTAAACACCGGAAATCTTTGGCACTTATATCACCTTATTGGGTTGTAATTTTGCTCAAATTAACATAGAACGAGGGCCTTACTTGACTTACTCCGTATCCGAGATCTCCACTCTCTGAGGGGCCAAAATGAGGTAACCATGACGTCAGGCGATAAAGACTACTTCAAGTTATGTAAAGAAGGGAGGCCTCATAAGACCGTCACCGGTATGTGCGTTTTATGCGATGTGTGCCTGTATTCAAACATTGAATAAATAACTTACCGTAGCACGTCTTGTCAAGTCCTCGTTTACACACATACAGACATGCCTTCGTCGGCTAGCTGTTAAAATGTATTATATTTTATCTATTCACTTTTTTAAAACTGCAGTTTCGTAACCTGTCGTACTGGTTGCCTGGGCTCGAGGTATATTCTGTAAAAAATCAAATTCTAAATATTACAAGAAGCAAGAAAAGTACATAATAAAGTAAGTACAAAGTACTATTGTTTTAAGAATGTTGAAGCAGTTCTTCCTCTCTCCGGGAAAAAAAATATTGCGGGTGGTTGAGGGGCACCATTGGAAGGTCCTATACTTCTTTACTTTCCCTCAGCACTAGATGACAACTATTGTGTCGATGTGCTTCTCATTTCTCCAACAAACAAACAAACAAACAAACAAACAAACAAACAAACAAACAAATGAAACATCTTGCTTTTTGGGCTCAGACATTTTAACGGCCTGCTGATGATATTATAATTAATCCAGCGCCCGAGAACGAACACCATGTCCACAAACTCATGTAAATTTTAATGCACACCGGTGAACGCACGCTCATGAATAATGTTCTATTACGCGGATTCACAGACGCAACTGTTGTCACGGATATTAGGAATAATATTATAACATAGGCCTATTTATTATATTAGGTGTACGGTTAATAAAATATGTGACACCCGTTGGAGTGACAATTGGACTGGTTTTAAGTTAATTCCTCGCAAAACTTTTAGCTCCCTTCGCCTGGTGGCTTTTGTATTGTGCATTTAAAAAAATTAAACAATAAGGGGGTAATGTCATGGTCTGAGAGCAAAATTTACGAGTTGTTTCTCTACTGTCTTTTCCCCTTATAAGTTTCAGATTATTGTTCTCTGCACGAATAATAAAACTTAACAAACAGAATTGCCACTGATAAATAATGTTACAACTTTCCTTATTCATGATCCAGAGACTACGTACTGTGTGTTCTAGATAACGTTCCAGCTGTTTATTAAATAAGAGTTACGATCAATACGGGACTGTTCACAAAGGGCGTCGACTAAAATTTGGCCAAATATGACACCCCACCCCTCCCCCCTTGTCATCTTCTGTAATCTCTCACAGG